AGGCTCCGTGTTGTAGACCGTACTTTGACCTATAAAGGTTTACTTTTATAAATTTTGACTTTGATGGAGAGTTGTCTCATTGGCACTCATACCTCATCTTCTTATATCTATAAAGCAATTATAGGTCACCGTACGGTACGCCTTCGACGACGAGAAAACCCCATCCCGTATAGTCAGCCATAAAAGAGCCCGACTTTAGTCTAGAAAAAGGTTTGATGTATAATACAGAACATAAGTAGTATACAATAGTATGAACGGTCCCAATGTTACTTCACCAGATGTCCATTTTGACAATTAATGTCTCTTCAGTGATGCTCGGGACCATAATATTTGAAAATCCAAAATCCAATACCAACATTTTGAATAGTTGACCAAAATAAAAGGACATACAGAAGAGCCAAATCCGGACAAGGGATCAGAGCTTTGCATGAGGGAGATATATTCCTTAACTTAAAATAATTTCTAAGATCTATAAACAGCAAATTTCAATCCGTATTTTCATGCCATTACCGAAGTACTGGCTACACCATGTTAATAAGCACATATAAAATAAACTATAAAGCACCAATCTGAGCAGAGTAAAATCTCTCATAGTGTGTGCAATGATGATCATTAAAATAGTCTTTCTTGATTTGTGTGAACATTAAAACTTGACATATCATTTCGATTCTCAATATTTTTATCCTGTAAGATGCCGATATTGATTTATTGTAATAGACTGCATTGCTTTTAAAACAATTCTATATAAAATGTTAACGTTTTCATCTTGGATCTTTATTTAATCACATGTTGGATATAAATTTGACCTTGTTAATTTATTCATAGTTAGATTGAAACATTTTTTTGTAATATCTTCGATATAACCAGGGAAAGAGTGACTTTAATATGATATTACTAGCAAGAACCTTTTACTCGATGTGACATTTTTGAATGATACGTATCGTCGAATTGTCACTTGTCATGTGCAGCACGACGAATGCCACCAGTGAGTAATGAACTTCTTATATTTACAAAGAAACTGAGTTCATCAGAGGTGTTGATGGGGTTCGTGTTGTTTAATCTTTATAAATATGGGAATCAATTTATTCGAAGGCTGTAAAATTACAAATGGATGTCGTAGTTCCATACAACAAAAATAGTATTGACATAAATATATTATTGATCGTATCATTTGAAGAAAGTATTTCCTTACGACAAGGGGGCAATACATTCTAAACTTATTGAAATAGTTGAAGAAAATGATTTTCGATTACCTCCCTTCTCACACTATGCCAAATATAATACTTATGAAAATGCTATAACAAGTTAGATCTAACAACAAAACATGTACAGGGCTTTACATTTTAAGCAGAGACCCGTCTTTTGTTGAAGATTGAACGTGTATTTGGTAACTCGTGTCGTGTGATTGCTGTCTCATTGACGTTTACCTAACATTGATTTCCTTTTGTTCATCAAGAAATACATCAGAGAATAAAGTACAACGATGTTATCGAGATAGCAAAAATATTGTCCATGTGTTATGTGATTGAAAACACAAAGCAATAAACATAAATGCAAATAAAAACTAAATGAGTCTCATTGATACATGCATACTATAGTATATGTATTTTGTGTAAAGGTTCAGAATTTATTGATTGATTAACTATTGGGCTGATGCATTTATTTATTCGTTGATTTTAAGGTGTCATCCTGGTTTGCCCACTTTTAATTACATACATATGTAAACATATGGTGGATTGTTGTTTTAACAATTATAGTTTATTTCTGAATTATAGTCGTATTTTTTACCTTTTATTTTACCTGTAAAATTTTATTTTACTATATTCTGCTATTAAATCAATGAAAATGTTCAAAAGTTTTAATATAGTTTTTATCAGGAAAATGTATTGAATTTGACAATAAATTCTAACAAATAGAATAAAAATGCAACTGTTCAGTAGCCAAGCTTTACAAATGAAATAATTTGAACAGTAATCTGCATCCAAGCTAGCATTTTCTTCTTTAAAAAAAAGATTGTTATTTTACCATAGTGCTCTATTTATTTTCTTATGCAATGCATTTATAAACTTGATCCATATATTAGGTGACGACCATTGGATATTGTAGGGGGGGGGGGGGGGATTTTGAAAATAAATAACTCAGCCTTGATAATAAGAAAAAAATAATGGTTTGTCCTGTAGTAATTTGAAAATAAATAAACTGACTTAAAATGTATTAAAAATAAATAACTCAGCAGGTCTTTTAAGCCATTTTATAAATGCTATTCTAAAGTATGAGATGGCACCAGATTCTTCCAAAATTCGTCTTTTTCATTTTTTTTTAGGGAAAAACTTCCCAAATCTTTAAATAATATAATGTATAAATATTAATTTACTTGAATTAAATGTCTGAAATGGGTTTCATTTAACTTAGGTATATTGTCTCAGGAACATTTACTTTATTCTCTTAGTGTTGCTTTCCATTTGTAATTTAGTAAACAAAATTTTAACTTGACTTTATTTTTTTTTAAGGATAAAACTATATGTGAACTACATGTTTTCGTTTTATCCTACATGTTGGTCTTTTGATGTTGTCCCTAAAAACTAAAAGTCTTACACTGAAACTATATATATATTTTGCCTTGAGACCAAAATATTGTCAAAAAATAATTAAAACAGAACTTGCATTTTTGATCAAGAAAGGTTCTGGGAAATGCGCAGAATGCATGATTTTGCATACATTTTTCTATAGCTTCTTCGGGCCTTCAGCGGCCCCAAAACCCTGCGCACGAAATTTGTTTAGTTTTTTTTTATATATATATACTTTATATTACTTTTAAAACAGGCTAGTGCCATTGTTTTACATGTATGTTAAATTATTGAGAGAAAAATATATGATTTATTTATAATTTATCTATACATTTATGAAATGGAAATACAAAATAAAAAATACCCGAATATATATAGAAAACACTGATAAACTATATACCTAAGTTGGAACAGACTATATAATTGTATGCTCATTAAACCTTTTGTCTTTTTTGTTTTCTTTACTAATAAATAATTGGTGTAATTTAAAGTGAGTAAAGGGAGTAAACCGATTTTAATGCCTTCAATATTAAACATCCAACCCATCATCCAACGAAAAATTAAAACTGGTATGCATATAAATTTATATTGAATTAAAAACCTAAATATTCTTTATGATTAAAGTATAATTTTCAGAACAAAAAAATCTTTGACTTTCATGACTTTTGGATCTGGTCGTTCTTGATTCAAGGCTGCAAATCACCTCCATCGCAGAAAATTCGATTTATTTAATTTTGATTTTTTATTCTGAAGACACTTACCATTTTCTCGCCATGTTTTCTTTTTCTATTGTATTTCACACTGAAATTAATAGAAAACATATGATGGTATATTGAGATACCACCACCCGTGAGACCATCAGTCAAAGTTGTGTTTCTCTTTGCGTGTCCGCTAGCTGGTATAGTTTGGCTGATAATACAAACATAATATTTAAGAAAATCGTTTTAGAATTTAACAAAAGGACACTTTTAAGGGGACATTTGCTCTCAAGTCATCTGTTCGTTTAAATCAGTATTTAGTCAATAATAAAAACATTTAATTTATATACTCATATATAGTTTGCTACATGAAATATTTGTACAAGAATGATTTTTATGTAAACTATTGGTGTAGAACTGTATGCATGTTTCGTTTATTATAAGAGTCTGGATGGTGTTTACGGAATAGTGAATAATGGGCCAAATCTAAAGAAAAATAGGCCAAAATATAACAAAAAGAGAAAAGGAGGGCACATAAACAAAGAAAAGGCCATAATGGGACGCTAAAATATAAATAATAGAGAATAATGGGCAAAAACTATAATGAATAGAGAAAGATGACATAAATATTAAAGAATACAGAAATAAAGGACCCCTCCCCCCTCCTGTCCAGACTCTATATACGACTTTACATAAAATGTTGTATAGTCCAATATAGTTTAACATGCAGACCAAATATCATTTACTTGTCATCGATTTACAAGAATATTTTCCTCTTTAACAGACCTAATCACAAAATTTCACAAATTGTTGACGCCGTCTACATCGGCACAGGAAAAAGCGCGCCAATGTCTTGCCTCCGCTACTTTTTCGAGGCAAAACAAAATGGCGAATAGCTTTACGTCTATATCGGATGATACTACTGTAAATATAAGGAGACATTAACGACTTAGACTCTCCATAAGGGTCCGCGGAGTCGGGAATTTAAGATAAAAAGCAATGCCTATTTATATCTTCATCTCCACGTTACTTCCGTCATGACTCCAAATGAGGGTCCACACGGTCCGGAATTTAAGATAAAAAAAAACAATGCCTATATATGTAATTATCTTCATCTCCACGTTATTTCTGTCATGACTCCAAATGAGGGTCCGCACGGTCGGGAATCTAAGATAAAAAAATAAAAAACAATGCCGATATATATCTTCATCTCCACGTTATTTCTGTCATGACTCCAAATGAGGGTCCGCACGGTCGGGAATCTAAGATAAAAAAAAAACAATGCATAAATTGTATATCATCATCTGCACGTTGCTTCTGTAATGACAACACATGCGATGGAAAACATCGCGTTTAAATATCTTTATATTCACGTTGTTTTTGTTATTCAATAATCAACATTTAACTATTTCTAGTTTTATTATGAATTATAAAGTATTATTACAAAATAATATTTTACGGTATCCCTTTCTTAAAATTCATGTCATTTACAATGATGTTTTAGTTTATGCACAGAAATGTAATATGATTATTTCTAAGCAGTTGAAATATAAACAAACAACAAAAACACATGTTACACTACCTGAATAACCGTTAAAAACCAACATATGATAGTTTACCGATAAGATGATTTTTGATTGGCTGACAAGACAGTAACAGTTAATCTTCGTCCAATAGAAGGAAAGGTTATTTAGGATCAATAAGTCAAGGTTAAGGGCTATTCCGTACTTTTGTAGTGGTATATAAACACAGTAATCACTTACACACATATTGTATTTACCCGACAATAGAAAGTGATTCACATTTATTAAGCCGTCGTAAACAGTATTTGTACTAACAGAAACAGTCACTGCCAAATAATCAAGGATTACTGGTGCGAGTGATTCATTTAGAAAATTATCAATATATACTACTGTTCGATAAGTTGTATCATTTGAGACGAGAATTTGAAGATGGTATTTAATAGGGATGCAGAAATCAAAATATTCCGAGGAATCATCTGTACGACAAACAGTGAAGGGCTTAGAAGTTAAAAAAGGCAGTCTTCACATGGTCCAGTTCCGTAGTGGACACCTTGTAAAGTTACCGGTATTAGTACAAGTGTATAAAAACTGTTTTGAACATTATGCTGTTATTTACAGAGACGCTAAATATACAAGTTCAGCTGTATATCTCAGTCTGAAGAATTGTAAAGTGTTCAAAAGTGATAATGATAATAACGAGATAATGTTGGTCCAGAATGATATAGATGGAAGTAGTTTAACCCTACAGGTCAACAGTAAGAAAGATGTAAATGATTGGATTTCAGCGCTGCAATCAGAAAGTTTATCAACGAAAGGGTCTGGGTCTCCGATCTTCAAAAGAGCTGATTTCATGCCTGCACTCCATGAATCGTTAGAGGAAGATAGTGATGTTGAGGACGAGGCAGAGAATGGCGATGAGGAAGACGAAAGATGAAATTGTGATGGAAAATAGTAAATTATATGATTTTTGAAAAGAATTTTCCCATATTCTTATTTATATGTAAACATAAATGAAGAAACAATAGGTTACATTCCTCTGAACTATAATGGTGATTGACTAGTGACGAAGAAACTGTTCTTAGCGCTATTTCGACGTTGTAAGTGCAAGGAGAAACATTTCAAATAGATTGAACATCCACACACGACGAATTCATGTTTTCCAAGATCGAAATACTCATGAGACATTTTACATGATGTTATCGCTGTCATTTGTCGTACTATTATACACACTCTAATATTTGTTAACCCTCATTATTTTTTATAAGGGTGCGCAAAGGGTAAACATATGATTAAGACCATAATCGATTCAATTTATATGTGAAGTAACATTTGTTTTAAAAGTATACGTTCATTTAGTTTGATTTATCATATTGATAATTCTAATAGAATTCATATTCTAATGAAATGTATTTGTTTTGTCGATCTCTCCTTCAAATTGGAAACGTATTTACTCAAACGATTACTAACAATGATAATAAGTAAAATCTTTTTTAGATTATAGGTAAAAATGATTCATGATATTGAACTAATAAACACCACAGGGTCATTGTGTCTGTAAGGAGGGGTTATCAGATAATAAACACCATGGGTCATTGTGTCTGTAACGAGGGGTTATCAGATAATAAACACCACAGGGTCATTGTGTCTGTAAGGAGGGGTTATCAGATAATAAACAGTAGAAGATTAAGACACGAGTTTATTTCTCTACTTCAGTGCAATATTTATACTTTTACTTTGTTTGAGCGGGTTGTTTTTTTTTTGACAATTGTTAGCAGCCCCTAACAATTTATATTGATTTACATTGATCATGTTGATTATATTAAAATATGGATCACATTGATCGTTTGAATAATTAACTTTATTTTATACTTACTGTGATGATGTGCTTTAAATTTTTATTTGTTGTTTTTACCAAAATATTTGTGTATTTTTATATTTTATAAATGTTGAATAAAACTGATGGAGATGCAAACTGTTTTATTTTTTAGGGTAAAAAAAGGGGGGGGAAGGTGGGGGGGGGGGTTTAATAGGGTCGGCGAATAGTTAGATATATATTTCAATTAGAAGTTAATATCTTTAGTCATATTGCCAGCATGGTTTCCCTTCACAGGAAATTCTTCAAGTATTCTTTAGAAAACCGAGGAGCAATGATTTGACCTAATTGTGTGAAATAGGAAGATGTGTTATATATGTCTATAATACCATTGCCAATGAGACACAACTATCCATCAGAGATCAAATGACGATAATGTAAGCAACTTTAGGTCATCGTACGTCCTTCAATATTGAATACAACCCATACCATATAGTAAGCTCTGAAAAACCCCGACATGATAAAATGTAAAATCTTTTAAACGAGAAAATCAACTGCGCGATTTCTGATAAAACAATTAACGAAAAACAAATCTTGCAGACATCGACAAATAACAGCAACTGACTGACATGCTCCTGACTGAGGACGGACACTTACAAAATTTAGCGGCGTTAAGGTAGTTCAGGGGTATAGAAAAAAAATGACAGAATTTTCTTATACTTTGCCAAAATGAAGATTTTACTATGCTTTTTTCAAAACAATAATAAAAGGTATGGGTCACCGCGCTATTTTTCAAGGTACGAGTCGTTCAAAATTTCCAAAATTTGCTTAAGACTGTTCATGAAAAAACACATTTTTGTGCATAAATAGAAATCTATATGAGAGAATTTTGAAATAAAATATGAGAAGATAGGTTTTATAATATATTTTAAGAAAATAGAAAGAAAAAATGGTGTCACCGAACTTGTTTTCTTGCTACAAGTAAAAAATGAAAATTTCCCTATATGTCCAGTATAAATTTTGTACTAAAAGAGTTATCTCCCCTTAAATGGCTTATTTGAAAAATTGATTCTAAAAACACAAATATTTGGTATTGGTTAAAACATTTTCGATAATACAATGAATCACTAAGTTTTCTTTATATAAATAAACAGTGTAATCAATAAATTGCAAATCTGTCTCCAAATTTGCAGATTTGGGCAAAGAAATAGACCGATTATGTACTGTGATTGTACAATTCAAGATGGTGTATACCTTAAACAAGTTTGCGAGCGCTTAATCTTACCTTATACAATGGTTGGTGTAACAGCACACCATAAGAACACACTATACATGCTATACAGATGCATGCTTCTGTAGAGTTTACTTATATCAAATTAAAAGAATATCAAATGAAGTGATATTACTGAGAGGTTACTCCTGAAAAAGTAATTCAGTCAATGCAGAACTAGGACTAAGCCTTAACTTACCATGAGTTATAATGCGAATATCATCAGTAAAAACAGGAACCACTTACCGTTCCAGACCATTCGGAGGGCAATCTTCGGTTTTTCGTGTGGGATGGCACAGCAAACTCAAATGAACAATAATGTATGTATATAACTAGGTATACATTAAATATTGTATTTTTGGTATTAATGTTGATTCACTCATAGGGTCTTTGCATCGGAAATAAATACATTTTTTCTAAAACCAGTTGTTAGCATGGTACAGGTTATGTTCTTCTCATATTTCATTTATGATGGTATAATACTAAGCCCCTTACGGGAGGGATTGTGCTTGATTTTCATATGATGAAGACATAATCTTTCAATCAGTTTAATTGAGGTCTGGAGCTGGCATGTCAGTAACTGCTAGTAGTCATTTGTTAATTTATGTATCATTGTCATTTTGCTTAGTTTCTTTTGTTACCTATTCTGACATCGGACTCAGGCTTCTTTTAAACTGAGTTTTACTGTCCGTATTGCTGTGTGTTTGTTTATTCTACATTGGTTAGAGGTATAGGGGAGGGTTGAGATCTCACAAAACATTTTAACCCCGCCGCATTTTTGCGCCTGTCCCAAGTCAGGAGCCTCTGGCCTTTGTAATCTTGTATGTTTTTTCTTAATTTTTTTCTTAATTATTCATTTATATGTTTTGGAGTTTAGTGTGACGTCCATTTTCATTGAACTAGTACACATTTTTGTTTAGGGGCCAGCTGAAGCCCGCCTCCGGGTGCGGGATTTTCTCGCTGTGTTGAAGACCCATTGGTGGCCTTCGGCTGTTTTCTGTTCTTTGGTCGGGTTGTTTTCCTTTGATACATTCCCCATTTCCATTCTCAATTTTATAACTGGACCTAATAGGAATAACTATTACCACTAAAAAAAACTTTTCTTATTGCAGTAATGTCCTTTTTGAGTACATGGATATCATGTGTATAACAGTGTGATTGGATAAATAAAAAAGACAGTAAAACAGATGGATCTGGGTGAATGGCAGAGCTTATTTGAAATTATAACGTTTATAATAGCTTGCTTTACGGTATGCGAATTGCTCATTATTGAAGGACGTACAATGCCCTAGCTAGAGTTGCTTACATCCACATTGTTTTACTCTAGTCGATAGTTGTCTTATTCCATACCAGATTTAGTTATTCATATATACAAATCTCAAAAATTTCTAAAGATGACCAAAAGTTTGTTATAAGTTGTTGACATTTCTATTTACATGCATGCAATTTCATCTGAACGACACTTCACGACTACGTTATGTTTTTCTTTTGTTTTTTTTTTGTTTTTACTTTTTTTTTTACTTTTACTTTTTTTTTTTTTTCTTTAAGGATGTACACCTTTGAGGAGCCAAACGTTTCTAGAATTAAACTGTTTTTCTTAACATGATTTTTGGGTTTATATGACTGTAAAAAAATAATTGGTGAAGAAAAAATCATATGATGGTGCACTTCTTTTTTTGCACCTGCCATTTGAAAGTACCCAATTCTGATGATTTTCCCATTTTTCATAAATTTTTACCCATTTTTGGGCTATTATCATGAAAAAATCACAGTTTTACAATTAAACTTTTTTTCATACTTTCAATAAAGATGAATCTGAATAAATTTAACTTTAAAAAAAAACTATAAGTAGGTGTTAATATAAGAAAGTTTTATAAAATTTTGTTGCTTTTTCGTGTCAAATTTACCATGCTGTCTATTTTGTAAATTTGGGATTTTTCTCTTTTTTTAGAACAAAAAGCAAATTATTTCAACTTCTTTGTTATAAATGATTGAAAAATACATATCTAAGAAATTTGAAAAGAAAAAATTGATATGAGATGTACATGTTTCTGGTAAAATAATTTCTTGTACCCCTCACCCATTTTCTCAACATTTTGGCTAATGAGACTGACTTGATTTGTATACCAATGAGTAATACAATTTTCAGATTTTATTATAATAAAATTTGAAAATTGTATTACTCAAAAACTACTTATTGTAAATACACAATTTTTTCACAGCACAGACTTAAGTTTGATTATAATATTTTTTTTAAATTCATTGATATTTTCCACTTGTATCACATGTTTTGGCAATAATTCCAGAACGAAATTTTAACGAGACTGAAACGTCAGAAGAATACAACATTAAAGTCAATGTTTCTTTTTTTACCCCTTCATATGAAACTAATGTAGAATGTTCCTATCAATTTACACCTTCACACATAACTCTGACCATTCTATTGAGCTGTTGACATTGTCATTGTGGCTTTTGTGACATTTCGAAAGATTCAAATGAATTGTCCTCATTAGATAAAGAAAACTAATAAGTTGATAATCAATAGCTAAATGCCTTAGTAAGCATATCGGAAGATCCTTATTTCAGCCCAACCGGACCAAGGGTACATGTGAGCTAAAGTTAACACTGGTTGTCCGTCGTTGCCGGCCTTTGGCTATCGTCCGTCTTCGCCATTACGTTTTTTTTTTATTCTTTCCCCAATCAACAATCAAATAAACCAAAGGCTGGATAATCGTCTATATATATTATATATCCCTGGTGGATATTGGCAATCTTACCATATCTTTTATTTTCATTATTATATAAAAATAAAGCTGCCACTTTTTCTAAAGGTATCATATTTTACATTGTGTTACCAGGTTAGCGATTCAGGTTCCTGTGAGTCTACTGTCTTTGCCTTTCTCTGCATTCCGTTGATTTATATTATAGAAAGTTTTATACAGACAAGTCAAGGGAGGTCATTAGTTAATCGAGGTTAGGTATATTTAGCCGTAACTATATAATATGAATTAATGTTGAATATGTAATGAGTCCATTAAAGGCTTTATAAGTTCTTCAGTAAATCCTATATGGTAGAATAAGAAAGTAAAATCTATTTGAAGAATAATTACAAAGTTCTATAATACGTTAAGTATATCAAGCGGAATTGCATTAAAACAAATGATGTAAAATGCTGTGATTTCCGTACATGTACGTGCATGTTTATGGAATCTGGTATTGTGCGCACAAAGCTAGTTTCGATATTGTTTGATTGGTTTTGCTTAAATATTCTGTTGAAAGGTTATTAGCTGTCAAATTCAATTAAAACTTTCACCATTTCATTTATAACGTACTTAAACGTATATCCAAACATCAGGGGGAAGTAGCGATTTGGTCCAGTTGAAAAAATCAAAACGGTGCGTATGATCACGAAGAGCGCACCTGGTGCCCCTACTAAAATTCGAAAAATTTGTTTTTGCATTAAAACGGTTTTTTTTACATCGAGCTGCTCATTTTGTTTCGTTCAATATCAATATAATAAATGTATTTAGACTGCTTTATAATGATATACCAATTATAAAAAGGCTAATCAAGCAATTCAGGAAATGGTTTCAATTAGTAACAACCGTAAACATTATAATAATCAATGACCGAAATGTACTCTGAAGGCACATGGCCAATTTTAAAGCAGCGTGTATTTATTTCAAACATATACGTTTTACAAATAGATTTAAGACGTCTTTATATTTTTTGTGTAGCATTAGTTGGGGTTTCGTTGATGGCAGAGCCTTCGTGTTATTCAAATATCAATATCACGTACAGGATATTCGATACTCGGTAAGCCTTTTATTAAAATCGCTTATGTAATACTTTTCCTGTTGAGGAAAACTTAACTTACTGACGTTGGGTT